GCGAGGTAGGCAAACCCTTCCGGGGATCAGAGGATTACTGGATAGCCGGTTCAAAGCCAAGGTTCGGTACCGGGTGGAGATCAGAGCAGACGTAGTCGGATGGGATAGTCGAGGTCATACACAGAGGAGCAAGAGAGAATATCTGTTAGCCAAGCCGAGGACAGATCAGGGGGTAAGCAGAGAAGACAGGTCCAGGAGCAAGCCGAGCCATTATCAGGAAATTACAGATCACAATAGCACAGGAACAGGAACAAAGTACTGGGAAGCCAGAGATCAATCAGTACCTGAGAGTAGTGCAGGGCTTCCTTATAAAGGCCGTTTGGCGCCAAATTTGAGCCGATGTGAACTTCTGTGGCCATGCAAGGTACTGGCAGGGGTGCCAGGTCTCCTAACACCTCTGCCAAGAACAGAGCCCTGACAACAGGTCAGGTGCAATGCTTTAGCCAATCACAGCCACGATGATGTCACAAGGGGGTGGGTCACCAAGTGGCACCACCCGTTAGATATTTAACAACTGTCAGGCTGGTGCAGCTGTCAGATGATGGAAAACAGCGTTGAGAGTGGAGCCTTTTTTTTTCTTTTTTTGGGGTAGCGGTGGTGGCAGGCATTATGATTGATGTTGGATCTACTTTGGGGGACACTTTTTTCTTTTAATAAAGGACTTGTCAAAGACTGTCTCCTGTCATTTTTTACACTACACTTTTTTTTGTGTGTGTGAATGGGTAGGGGTACCATGTACCCCATACTCATTTACAGAGAGGCGGGACGGGATCTGGGGCCCACTTGATAAAGGGGACTTTTAGATTCCAGTAAGACCCCACCCACAGACCCCCACATCCACTGGCCACTGTTGTGAGGAAAAGACCCTTTTTCCCATCAACAATGGTCATGACTGTCCATTCTGTTCTAAGAATTCAAAGATGTACAGGTGAAACTCAAAAAATGAGAATCTGGTGCATTCGTTGATTTATTTCATTGTGATGATTATGGCTTACAGCTCATGAAAACCCCAAATCCACAATCTCAGAAAATGAGAATCTTGTGAAAAGGTGGAATAATCTCGGCTCAAAGTGTCCCACTCTAATCAGATAATTAAGCCATAACACCTGCAAAGGGTTCCTGAGCCTTTAAATGGTCTCTCAATCTGGTTCACTAGGAATCCCAATCATGGGAAAGACTGCTGACCTGACACCATCACTGACACCCTCCATAAGGAGGGAAAGCCTCAGAAGGTCATTGCAAAAGAAGTTGGATGTTCCCAAAGTGCTGTATCAAAGCACATTAATAGAAAGTTATGTGGAAGGGAAAAGTGTGGAAGAAAAAGGTGCACAAGCAGCAGGGATGACCGCAGCCTGGAGAGGATTGTCAGGAAAAGGCCATTCAAAAGTGTTGGGACTTTCACAAGGAGTGGACTGAGGCTGGAGTCAGTGCATCAAGAGCCACCACACACAGACGGATCCTGGACATGGGCTTCAAATGTCGTATTCCTCTTGTCAAGCCGCTCCTGAACAACAAACAATGACAGAAGCGTCTTACCTGGGCTAAAGAAAAACAGACCTGGTCTAGTGCTCAGTGGTCCAAAGTCCTCTTTTCTGATGAGAGCAACTTTTGCATCTCATTTGGAAACTATGGACCCCGAGTATGGAGGAAGAATGGAGAGGCCCAAGGACCCCGAGTATGGAGGAAGAATGGAGAGGCCCAGGGACCCCGAGTATGGAGGAAGAATGGAAAGGCCCAGGGACCCTGAGTATGGAGGAAGAATGGAGAGGCCCAAGGACCCCGAGTATAGAGGAAGAATGGAGAGGCACAAGGACCCGGAGTATGGAGGAAGAATGGAGAGGCACAAGGACCCGGAGTATAGAGGAAGAATGGAGAGGCACAAGGACCCCGAGTATGGAGGAAGAATGGAGAGGCCCAAGGTTCCCGAGTATGGAGAAAAAATGGAGCGGCACAAGGACCCCGAGTATGGAGGAAGAATGGAGAGGCACAAGGACCCCGAGTATGGAGGAAGAATGGAGAGGCACAAGGACCCCGAGTATGGAGGAAGAATGGAGAGGCACAAGGACCCCGAGTATGGAGGAATAATGGAGTGGCACAAGGACCCCGAGTATGGAGGAAGAATGGAGAGGCCCAAGGACCCCGAGTATGGAGGAAGAATGGAGAGGCACAAGGACCCCGAGTATGGAGGAAGAATGGAGAGGTCCAAGGACCCCGAGTATGGAGGAAGAATGGAGAGGCCCGAGGACCCCGAGTATGGAGGAAGAATGGAGAGGCCCAAGGACCCCGAGTATGGAGGAAGAATGGAGAGGCCGAGGACCCCGAGTACGGAGGAAGAATGGAGAGGCACAAGGACCCCGAGTATGGAGGAAGAATGGAGAGGCCCGAGGACCCCGAGTACGGAGGAAGAATGGAGAGGCCCAAGGACCCCGAGTATGGAGGAAGAATGGAGAGGCCCGAGGACCCCGAGTACGGAGGAAGAATGGAGAGGCCCAAGGACCCCGAGTACGTAGGAAGAATGGAGAGGCACAAGGACCCCGAGTACGGAGGAAGAATGGAGAGGCCCAAGGACCCCGAGTACATAGGAAGAATGGAGAGGCACAAGGACCCCGAGTATGGAGGAAGAATGGAGAGGCCCAAGGGCCCCGAGTATGGAGGAAGAATGGAGAGGCACAAGGACCCCGAGTATGGAGGAAGAATGGAGAGGCCCAAGGACCCCGAGTATGGAGGAAGAATGGAGAGGCACACACTGCAAGATGCTTGAAGTCCAGTGTGACATTTCCACAGTCTGTGTTGATTTGGGGAGCCATGTCATCTGCTGGTGTTGGTCCACTGTGCTTCATTAAGTCCAGGGTCACCGCAGCCGTCTACCAGGAGATTTTGGAGCACTTCATGCTTCCTTCCACAGACGAGCTTTATGAGGATGCTGACTTCATTTTCCAGCAGGACTTGGCACCGCCCACACTGCCAAAAGCACCAAAACCTGGTTCAATGACCATGGGATTACTGTGCTTGCTTGGCCAGCAAACTCGCCTGACCTGAACCCCACAGAGAATCTATGGGGCATTGCCAAGAGAAAGATGAGAGACATGAGAGCGAACAATGCAGAAGAGCTGAAGGCTGCTATTGAAGCATCCTGGTCTTCCATAACACCTCAGCAGTGCCACAGGCTGATAGCTTCCATGCCACGCCGCATTGAGGCAGTAATTGCTGCAAGAGGGGCCCAAACCAAGTACTGAGTACATATGCAGCTTCTACTTTTCAGAGGTGCGATATTGTTCTATGTACAATCCGTGTTTTATTGATTGCATGGAATATTCTCATTTTCTGAGATTGTGGATTTGGGGTTTTCATGAGCTGTAAGCCATAATCATCACAATGATGACAAATCACGGCTGGAACTATCTTGCTTTGCATGGAATAGTCTCATATATTAGTGTCACCTTTTAAGTTGCTGCACTGAAATAAATGAACCTTTGCACCATATTCTCATTTTTCGAGTTTCACCTGTGTGTCTTAGTAAATATCTCAGAAAATGTAGAACCTAAAATATATTTTCCACTTTCCTTTATGATACCAAACAAATACAGGTAAAAAAATGATAAATATGTGAACTGAAAGTGTACTTTCTGTTGGTAATATATTGTTTTGCACAAACACTTCCATCATCAAATCATCTTCATTCAATAACTATCGCTCTTTACCTTACCTAACCATAAAAAGCAACTACAATTTTGAGCAAAAAACATTTTTTGCTTAAATTATTAATTTTCGTGTATTTGCCAGTTTTATAATGAAACTGTACAAAATAACTGTCTTGAATGCCCTTCAAAACATTGTAAAAAGGATTTGAATAGGAAAAAATATTTATAGAGTTTTTTTTAATGTAATCTACTCAATTTCAGTATCCTGAAGTCACAAAGGTGTTAGGCCACTCTGCCGTGCAAAATATTACAGTGGAATTCTGGTACAAACAATAAAGAGAACTCAGGAATCATCCGCTTGTCCCCAGAACAGTATAAATACAAGAAAAAAAAAAAACCCCTTTGGATTTTAATGCAGCTTAATCAAATCCCACATCCATACACTCACCGACCACTTTATGAGGTCCACTTGTTCCATGGCTCGGTAACACAAATTGCTAATTGGCCAATCACATGGCAGCAACTCAATGCATTTAGGCATCTAGACGTGGTGAAGATGACTTGCTGACGTTCAAATTGAGCATCAGAATGGGGAAGAAAGGGGATTTAAGTGACTTTGAACGTGGCTGGTCTGATGGGCTGGTCTGAGTATTTCAAAAACTGCTGGTCTACTGAGATTTTCATCACAGCCATCTCTAGGGGTTTAAAAAAGATAAAGTCCGAAAAAGATAAAGTATCCAGTGAGCGGCAGTTGTGTGGAGGAAAATGCCTTGTTGGGGTCAGAGGAGAATGGGCAGACTGGTTCCAGATGATGGAAAGGCAATGGGAACTGAAATAGCTCACAAAAACTGCATGAAAGCATGAATCCATCCTGCCGGTTCGGACTGGTGGTGCAATGGTGTGGGGGAGATTTTCTTGGCACTAGCAAGTGTACCTAATAAAGTGGCCGGTCATATTGGTATATAAAAAAATTGTATGCTTTATTTTACAAATAATACCTAGAAAATAACAAAAAAAAAATCTCTCCAGCAGCTCTGACAAGATTTGTTGAACATCAACCTCTATATGGGTTTCTAAAAAGCAAGAAAGACAACACAGATTAGTACACATAATGATCCCCAATAACCACAACACGTTTCGATCATTCCGATCTAAGATCTTCTTCAGGGGGCATGAAAGAGAGAAGGACCTCTAAATAGGCATATAGAGAATAAATAACACGTCCTTTATAAAAAAATATCCAACAATGGTAATGACATACTCCTAATACTTATATTGTATCAATGCAACCATCGACATACACTATATTGCCCAAAGTATTGGGCCCACCCTCCTAATCATGTGATTCAGGTGTTCCAGTCCCCTCCATATCATGTGATTCAGAGCGGTGTTCCAATCCCCTCCCAATCATGTGATTCAGGTGTTCCAGTCCCCTCCATATCATGTGATTCAGGTGTTTCCAATCCCCTCCCAATCATGTGATTCAGGTGTTCCAATCCCCTCCCAATCATGTGATTCAGGTGTTCCAATCCCCTCCATATCATGTGATTCAGGTGTTTCCAATCCCATCCATATCATGTGATTCAGGTGTTCCAATCCCCTCCATATCATGTAATTCAGGTGTTCCAAGGCCCCTCCTAATCATGTGATTCAGGTGTTCCAATCCCCTCCCAATCATGTGATTCAGGTGTTCCACTCCCCTCCCAATCATGTGATTCAGGTGTTCCAATCCCCTCCATAATCATGTGATTCAGGTGTTCCAATCCCCTCCATATCATGTGATTCAGGGTGTTCCAATCCCCTCCATATCATGTGATTCAGGTGTTCCAATCCCCTCCAATATCATGTGATTTCAGGTGCTCCAATCCCCTCCATATCATGTGATTCAGGTGTTTCCAATCCCCTCCCAATCATGGGATTCAGGTGTTCCAATCCCCTCCCAATCATGTGATTCAGGTTTCCAATCCCTTCCCAATCATGTGACTCAGGTGTTCCAATCCCCTCCATATCATGTGATTCAGGTGTTCCAATCCCCTCCATGGGACACAGGTGTATACAATCAAGCCCCTAGGCATGCAGACGGCTTTTTACAAAACATTGGTGAAAGAATTGGGTCGCTCTCAGGGGCTCAGTGACTCCAAGCGTGGCCCCGTGATAGGTGGCCACCTGGGCAATAAGTCCATCCATGACATTTCCTGGCTACTAAATATTCCACGCACGCTCAACTGTTAGTGGGATTATAACAAAGTGGAAGCCACTGGGAACAACAGCCACTCAGCCACCAAGTGGTAGGCCATGTCACATGACAGGGCGGGGTCAGCGCATGCTGAAGCGCACAGTGCGCAGAAGTCACCAAATGTCTGCAGAGTCAATAGCTAAAGACCTCCAAACTTGGTGTGGCCTTCAGATGAGCCCAACAACAGTGCGTAGAGAGCTTCATGGAATGGTTTTCCATGGCCGAGCAGCTGCATCCAAGCCTTCCATCACCAAGTGCAATGCAAAGCATTGGATGCCGTGGTGTAAAGTACGCCGCCACTGGACTCTAGAGCAGTGGAGACGTGTTCTCTGGAGTGACCAATCATGCTTCTCTCTGTCTGGCAATCTGATGGGTGTGTCTGGGTTTGGCAGTTGCCATGAGAACAGTACTTGCCTGACTGCATTGTGCCAAGTGTACATTTCATGGAGGGGGGATTATTGTGTGGGGTTTTTTTTTCAGGGGTTGGGCTTAGCCCCCTAGGTCCAGTGAAGGGAACTCTTAAGGTGTGACCATACCAAGACATTTTGGACAATTTTCATGCTCCCAACATTGTGAGGAACAGTCTGGGGATGGCCCCTTCCTGTTTTACAACATGACTGCACAAAGCAAGGTCCATAAAGAACACGGAGGAGCCAGTTTGGGGTGCGGGTGGAACTTGACTATCCTGCACAGAGTCCTGACCTCAACCCCCATAGAACACCTTTGGATGAATTAGAGCGGAGACTGCGAGAGCCGGGCCTCCTCCCCCGACATCAGTGCCTGACCTGACAAATGTGCTTCTGGAAGAATGGTCCAACCTTCCCATAGACACCCTCCTAAACCTTGTGGACGGGCCTTCCCAGAAGAGTTGAAGCTGTTTATAGCTGCAAAGGGCGGGGCCAACTCAATATTGAACCCTATGGACTAAGACTGGGAGGCCATTAAAGGTCATGTGCGTGGAAAGGGTGGGGCCAACTCAATATTGAACCCTACGGACTAAGACTGGGGGGCCATTAAAGGTCATGAGTGTGGAAAGGGTGGGGCCAACTCAATATTGAACCCTATGGACTAAGACTGGGAGGCCATTAAAGGTCATGTGTGTGGAAAGGGCGGGGCCAACTCAATATTGAACCCTATGGACTAAGAACTGGGAGGCCATTAAAGGTCATGTGTGTGGAAAGGGCGGGGCCAACTCAATATTGATCCCTACGGACTAAGACTGGGGGGCCATTAAAGGTCATGTGTGTGGAAAGGGTGGGGCCAACTCAATATTGAACCCTATGGACTAAGACTGGGAGGCCATTAAAGGTCATTGGTGGTGTGTGGAAAGGGCGGGGCCAACTCAATATTGAACCTATGGACTAAGACTGGGAGGCCATTAAAGGTCATGTGTGTGGAAAGGGCGGGGCCAACTCAATATTGAACCCTATGGACTAAGACTGGGAGGCCCATTAAAGGGCAGGGGCCCAATACTTTCAACGATATAGTGTATAAATAACCAGCTGGTATCTGAGGGTAGTATCTTACGTAGTTCCCCCAATTCTTTAAGAGTAGGAGGAGATGTGCTTTTCCAATGGGAGTAGTAAAACTCTACATGCCTCTAGAGACCGGCCTCCCTGCCAAGCTGGTCCGCCATCCTCATCAACAATACCTATTTATACAACATTTAGGGTCCAGAGTAAAGAAATGTTTCTAATGCTTGATTATTGATATTAATAACAAACCTCTCAGTATCTGTGCAACATCAGGCAGCACCATGACATGTGTTATCAGAGAGCCATGATCCCTACTACATTTCAAACATTGAGATTCCTTAAGGAGGCCCAATGTAAATAGTTTTTCAAAGGGTTGTAGCAATACCCTCAGCAGTATATTTAACTGGGACAGGTTGAGATGTATTTAAGGAGCTTATTTTATACCGTTTCCAGCACCACAACCCATTGCTCACCAAGCAATCACACCACATCTGGCACCCAATTCTCTGAACACCTTGCAGGGGTATGCGTCCAAATAGGTAGAACCAATGTGGGGATTATATTTAGTAGGGATAGGGGATAGGGGAAAAAACCCGGTGATAAGTGATG